TGTGTGTGTGTGTGTGTGTGTGTGTGTGCATGTATGTGTCTGTGTCTGTTGTATGTATGTGTGTTCATGTCTTTTTGCCTATCCTTGCCATTTTATGATTTTTTTTTTTTTAATTTCAACAAATCTACGACACGTATTCCCTATATGTATATATATATTGTAAATGTATGTGTGTGTATGTATGTATGTTTATATGTGTGTATATGTGTGTGTGTGTGTATATGTGTGTGTATGTGTGTATGTGTGTATGTGTGTATGTGATTATTAGGAAAATCAAAAGGGAAAAACATAAAACACATTGAAAAATGAAAGAATTAGTTACGATAAGAATTGAGAAATGGCTTCTTCACATTATACATTCATGTGCATACATTAAACATTTCATTCATTTTAATAAAATTTATTTGAAGAAAAGATCATCGTCATGATGATAGCAAGCCTAAAGTTTATCTCGATTCTCATTTGCCAAAAGAAAAATGGCCTAGCCTTAGTGTATAGATGGAAGAGAGGAAATGAAAGCTTTGGACATTTGCGACATTTTTATTTACTCAAGAATTCTCAATACTCAAAAATTTACACAAATTCTCACTCAAAAAAATTCTCAATTCTTTTATTTCTTTTAACACTCGCATCAATTCTTGATTTTTTTTTTTTTAGGAAAATTTAACGAAAAATCTCATGTAAATTAGCATTATATTAGCTATAATTGAAAGGCCAAAAAGCATATTTTCATTTTTACGACCGAATGCATTGTAAATGCTACAAAATTAAATGATAGAAATATGAAATCATTTTTAAATAGCAATTTCTAGTCTTATACAGAAAAGTAAACCAATAAAATTTTGAATTTCTTATCCTCACAGAGAAATCGGAAAAAGAAAAGGAAAAAAAAATGATGAACTAAAAAGTAATGAATTATTTTAAATTCCATATGCTCGTTTTTATGACTTTTGATGTACTTTCTTTTCATTGTAATCAAATTCTTGCTAAAAAACAAGAATTTTTTTAAAAAAAAAAAAAAACGTAAAACGTGAGATTTTTAAAAAATATACCAATCGAGCTCTGGATAGCACTCCGGAAAGCTTTACCTAATTCTTTTTTTTTGGCTTGTGTTTTTCAAATTTCTATTATATTTACCGGTGTTCTTTTCATGGATGCTTAACTTAAGAAGAACCAAAAATTGGCTTTTTTTTCTCTTTTAAAAATGGATAGGCCTGTCTGATTGTGGTATACTTTAGGGAACAGTTGTTTTTTCGAGAAAAAAATTAATCTAGTCACTGTCAATGCTTCACTATCACCTGTAATCTACAAATAAAAGTTACAAAGTACTGTATTTTCATATGAGAAAATCATTTCAGCAATATTTGAATTTAACAATTTTTCCATTCCATAATGTTAAATACAATTACTTGCAAAAGCTTCGCAATATGTATGACAATTCAACAAACCGTTACAACTTTTATCAGAGTAACACGAAATCCCGAGATTTCTTGTAATTAAAAAAAAGATAATCCATAGATTATCGAACTATTTGTAGGTAATTATTTCCGAAGGAGAGAGTAGCTCCTGTATTTATGCTTATTTTACAACTGCAAAAACAATTTTCGTTTTTTTAAATTTTTAATTCATTTTTTTGTTTTGATGAATCAAAAAAATTTTACTTTGCTAAATGGATGAACTGTTGAATATTCAAATAAGGAAGCCTTCGAAATGTGATCTTATGCGAAATCAAATGGGAAAAAGCAGAATAATTTAAGAAAGTTAATTAATTAGCAAAATGGTAACGGCTAATGGTACAAAGTAAAAGATGATAGTAATTGTGAAGGTTGAGATCCGGTGCCACATATTTGTACTAGCATTTGCAAACTTCATTGTGCGCTTAATGAAAAAGCCGTTTTAGCTGATATTGCAAACTACAGAGATTTTGATATGCTGTCTTCTGCTAGAATCTAAAATAACTAGGTATACCAACGAATAAAACTTTAATCATTATTCCTAGATTTAATAGAAAAAAAAAATGCAAATAGGTTAAATAGCAGCTAGACTGTAGATAGTGATCAGAAATTAGCTAGAATAAAAATACTGATCAAAAACTAGCCAAAATTATCAAATTTTGATTTTTCAATTCAAGAAAACATTTCTTTCCCTCCAGTATGATAATAAACAAAGTAAGCTTTTATCATTATTTCCCAAAATATTAATTGCAAAATTTTTAATTAAAAAATCGAAATTAAAAAATATCTCATAGAAGAGATAAATTAAAAAATGATCATACATTCCGTTCGATCAAACAATTATTATTTATGGAAATGAAAACAATTTTATGAATGATACCAAAAAAAAAAAAATATCACCGATTTAATAATGCAATAAATCATTAAGACCCAAATCACAGCCATATTCAATTACTGATGTTTCGAATTCTTTCAACGCTTCATTTCCACATTTTTGTATAATTTCCGGTTTCATACAGCTATAGTACTGTCGAATACCGCGACATTTTTTCTGAAAAATTACTCCTAACAATTTTATAACATTAATTTTATAAATATGTTATATTGATCAAATCAATATTTTCTAAAAAAAAAAAAAAATTCTAATACCATATGCGAGAATATTGATTGATTAATTTGCATGCCAAATCTCAATTTTATAAGCATACTATATTGATCAAATCAATATTTTCTAAAAAAAAAAAAATTGTAATCCTATAAGCGAGATATTGATTGATCAGTTTGCATACCAAATCTTTTCCCGGCTCTGCTATACCACTAATAAATATTTGACAGTTTTCATTATTAGCAATAGCTACATCAATGATACATTCATAGTATTCCATGAAACGTTTAATATTTTGTGGCGTACAAATATATCCGAAGTGATCTCGAGCAAATCGAATCTATATTTCATTTCAAAATTAATTCATCTCTTTAAATCAATATTTTTTAGAAATTTAAATCAAGAGTAAAAAAATTTCACATTTTAAATCAAATGGCTGTTAAAAAAAAATTACTTCAATGGAAAGTTAAACATTATAAAAATACAACTAAACTTTTATCATCCTATAAATATTAATTAAAATTAATACTTCAAGTAATATAAAGTCTTATCTAATTTTAACATGTTTTTTTTTTTATTAAAATTACCAACAAAAAAAAAACATGAAAAATTTCAATGAACCAATTCATCATTAAGGCAAATTGTGATCGATTCAAAGCCGGCACACAAAAATATATTTGCATAACCATCACAAAGCTCTAATAATTCCTGTCGAGTATACTTATACATCGGAAATGATATCTGTAAATTTAGGATATCATTTTTTTCAATTAAATTAAATCTTAATTTATAAATTTAATAATTTATATGCTTTTCCAAAAAGATATTTTTTAAATTCGAGCTTAAATTGTATAACGTGAAATTAAAATTGATACAGGAATAATTTTTACATTAATTTAACAAATTAAAGATTTTATTATATCTGTATGAGCAGGGAATTACGGTAGTGAAGCAATATCAGAAAGATAACAATGATAATGATAATTTCTTTTAACATACATTTTTTAAGATTGGTCGTTGTTGTCGCATATTCTGCCAGCTGATCATTAATGGTTGAACACATAATCGTGTTTTATTTTGCATTTCTTTGGTACATTCCGTGGATAATTGATAGGAAAATAATTCACCATCAAAAATTTTCACCAAATGTATTTCTGATTCAATCGAATGATTTGGTTTATTATTTTCAAAATTTTTTAATTGATTATTATTCGTTCCTTTTGTAACAGTTCTTTCCATATTTGCTAAAAAATAAACTTTAAAAAATGAAAAAAAAAAA